AATCTTCCAATGTCGGGCGCTGAGTCAGGAGAAACTGATTCAGATGCTTTAGAACAAGATGATCGAGACTTACTGTGTGATGGCGCAAAAGAAACACGTTACGTGGGGCTTATAGAAGAAGAGTTTAATCAGGTATGGTACTTTTCTTAATATGATAATTTATTAATATCTAAAATTTTTTCTAACTGTACAGCACGTCGGTGAGCAAGTAGAAGAACTAGCTGAAGAAAATAAGAGCTTAATATGGATATTGGTGAAACAAGTCCGTCCAGGCATGGATTTAAGTAAGGTGGTTTTGCCTACTTTTATTTTAGAACCACGTTCGTTTTTGGATAAATTATCTGATTCATATTATCATGCAGATAAATTGTCGAGGTTAGTGACATAAAATACACATTCTTATAACCAAAATATTAACTTCAATAAATTCTTAATTTTAGGGCTGTCGAAGAAGATGATCCATTTACACGTATGAAAATGATTGTTGAATGGTATCTATCAGGATTTTATAAGAAACCCAAAGGCTTAAAGAAGCCTTATAATCCTATATTGGGAGAAACATTTCGTTGCTATTGGGAGCATCCTAACGGCAGCCGTACATATTATATAGCTGAACAGGTTTCACATCATCCGCCAGTGTCGGCATTTTATGTAACTAATCGACAAGATGGTTTCTGTATTAGTTGCTCTATATTGGCTAAATCAAAATTTTATGGTAACAGTACATCAGCAGTACTTGAAGGTGTTGCCACACTTACACTTCTGCCACGTGGCGAAAGTTATACGTTAACCACACCTTATGCACACTGTAAGGGAATTTTAATGGGCACACTTTCAATGGAATTAGGTGGCAAAATCAATATAGATTGCGAGAATACAGGATACAAAACAGAATTAGAATTTAAACTTAGACCATTCTTAGGTGGTAGCGATCACACGAATTTAGTTGTTGGTAAAATAAAATTAGGAAAAGAAACTTTAGCTTCAATACAAGGTCATTGGGATTCGGAAATATTTATAAAAGATACAAAAAGTTCTGAAGAAACATTATTGTTTGCAGCAAATAAGGAAACAAAAATGAAACGCTTGGTAAGACATGTTGTACCTTTGGAAGCGCAATTACCTACTGAATCAGAAAAACTATGGCTACATGTGTCAGATGCTATAAAAAGGGAAGATCAAATTGCCGCTACTGAAGAAAAGACGGTGCTTGAAGAAGCACAGAGAAATGGTGCTAAAGAACGAAAAGCGATGTTAACTAATTGGATACCTGCACATTTTCAACAGGATATTTTAACTGGACAGGTAAGTGTCGATTTTATATACATATACATATACATATACATATACAATGAAAACACTATACAATGCACGTCGATGGGAATTGTTGTTATGTTGCGGCCCACGGAGTTCTGTAAAGTAGATAGCATAAAAGGAATCACATGACGAATATATGGGTTATAGTTATGGTTCTGTGAGTGAGGAAGGGATTGTTATGTAGTAGAGTTGGATTAGAGATGGGGGGCATTTAAATTGAAGCCAACCAGGATCAAGACGGAGAAACCTATAGTTGTACTATTTAAAAGAAAGTACAGTGGTCGTCCAGTATAACGAACGCTCGATATTACGAATTTTCGATATAACGAACACCCAAAATATTTACATTGATTGTTCTATATAACGAACGAAAAAAAAAATTCTGCTCCATATTACGAACAAAAAATTTTTTGTTTCTTATTCGTTTTTGTTGTATACAAATTATGCTTTTGAATATAATTTTACTATAAAACTAGCATTATTCAGCTTAGAATATGCATGTAATTGTCCGTTTTTTTTTTTTCTGAGAAAAATGCCTATATATGGCAAAATGCATATATGCAGGCGCCACTGATCTGTTGTTCACAAATTCAGTTTATCATATACGAAATACTATCCAATACTATCTAACTATTATTGTTAGTGTGACATTAGTACATACGAAGTTAATAAATGGAATAATGCTGATAATACCATCGATGTCTCGGACGAGGATGATGGATCTGATGACGAAAATATAGAAGAAAATAATTTAGAAATTATTAAACATAAAGATGCCATAAATCATTTCGAAAAATGCATAAAGTGGGCGATTAACAATAATGAAACTTCAAAATTAGCTGTACTAAGAGAACTACAAGAAAAAGCTGTTCAGAAAAGTCTTGAGTGTAGTAAAAAACAAACAAAAATTAATGATTTTTTCTACTCTACACTATGATTGAATGCGTCCTTTCTTATAAATAATTTTTGTAACAACCGAATAAAAAATACTTTTAAATAAATATATACTCGTACGTGTTTATAAGTTAATTTATGAACTCAAATATATGAAATCTCCTAAAAATAACCATATTGGTAGGTAAATGTATAACATTCGATATTACGAATTTTTCGATATAACGAACAAGGGGTGCAACATAAAATTCGTTATATTGGACGTCCACTGTACTTTGTTTCTAGAATGATAACAGATGACTATAGCATATATTACATAGCTAAAAGATATGTTTATTTATGTTAACAGAGTTTTCACTATATAAATAAAAATTGCTTGGAATGAAAATAATAAAATAGTAGATCTAATACATCTAATAGTTTTTCTTATCATAGCATGAGATATAAGGATGCTTTTTAATTTATTTTTATTTTCAATATAAGTTTATAATTTAAAGCTAAAATATGCCGAGATATATAAATTGCACAAATGCCTTTAATTCATAAAGGCATTTGATTAGCTTACAATGTTTGATAAATTTTATTAATTTATTTTATTATTAATTAATGATTTTAATGTAGTATTTTATAATTATTAGGATAATAGTGATTATTAATAATAAAAATCTTTGAAGATTAACACTGTTCTAAGTTAGGTTAGGTTGAAGTTGGAGCTTTGCACATCAAAGCCCACTAGAGCTCACATAATATGCTGTTGTGATAGTGTAGATTATACTATAGATACCATGTTCATATGTAGATCAGAACGAAATTTTAAAAAGATGGCAGTGGTCAGCATACACACAATGCTGAAAAGCATGATTTTCATTCAAGTGAAAATGTGCCAATCAGACAAATCTATAAACTTGCTATGCCAACTCTTTCAGGTCAATAAAGTTGGACATTGCTATAGAAGGTGAGACATGGCTTCCCCCTCTTCTTTAGTGTCACAATCACAACAAATGTAGAACTAGTGTCTCATAACATTCCCTCTTAGTTCGCAGTTTTCTGTCAGCACCGATATTATAGTGCTGAGCAGGTTGCAGAAGCGGATCGTAAAGCTTTTTTTATTTTTATTTTATTATGGAAATTAAAAATTAAATTCTAAAGAATATGTTATTATGTCTTTTTTAATAATTTACACAAATTATCTTTTTTCTAGTGGATTTATAAATATGCCGATTTACGTCCCTGGGATCCACGGAATGACGTTAAACAATTCGAATGCAATTATAAAGTATTAACAAAAACCCGTCACCAAGCGCCTTTGGTTCGTACTACAAGTGTTCTTAGTGGTGATCAAATGCATGTTGTAGTCACTGATTCAATACCAATGCCTGTAATCACAGCACAACGTAAAGTTAGAAATATGATACAAGCAGAACAAAATGTTTCGGACTCAAGTCAATCGAATGATGAAGTGGTGTTGAATGCAGTGACAGATAAATCTCTTAAAAGGTATGTGTATAATCATGCATAAAGAATTATAAAGAATTATAATAATTATAATTTTTTTATAAATAATATAATTATAGATTAGCAACATCATTGGATCAAGTCAATAGAACTTTAGAAGAAAATTCCCGACAATTAAGAATTATAGAGCTTAAACTTGAACGTATGGAATATGCACCGCCATTTACGACTTGGAAAAATCCTACTGAAACGGATGTAGCAGTTTCGAAACTTATGCGTGGGCTACCTAGTACAGTACCGCAGTCTTCTGTAGTAAAAGCTGTTGCATATGGTGTGATCAGCGTAATATGTTATGTTATTCTAAAATGGTTTTTTAAGTAAAAAAAAATGTCTATATTGCATGAAATTTAATACGCTTCCATATGGCTTATGAAAAAATAGAACCCTGCCTCAAAGATAAATATGCTCTCAGGTTATTGATTACACGGTATAATTCACATTATAAAATACGGTTTCATTGCTTGATCATTTTCAAAATTTATTACTGTAATCTATGACGGCAAACTTTATATCCTTTCCACTATAGAAAGATTTTTAGTATTAAATTAAAAGAGTTTGTAAATTTCTTTGTAAAATTATTTAATCTAAAATTATTTGCAATATTTTATATATAATGCACTAAATTTGTAGACTTGCTGACATGTATCATTTAAGACGAATAATAAATATAATTCTAAAAATTATTGAATTAATTTGTATATACATAAGTTTAATATAACAATTCCATGATTTTTCACACTTTTTGGGATTCTGTCAATATACATAAAATTATTAACCTTATAATGAAAAATTGATAATCAATGTTGAAATTTTTTTTTTATTTTATTTTTTTTGTGTGAAATTTATAAATTTTATTCAAGCACTTTTTTTATAATCCTTAATTAACTAAACACTTATGTACACTGAATTTTTTATAAACTAATTAATATATAGCAATTTGTATACACGAAGATTTATAAATTCGCTAATCTTAAGATTGAAAAAATAGCTGCTTACTTTAAAGAAAAATATATTTAGAGAAAACAATAATGTTTTATTTGTTATTACAAAAAAAATATATATGAATAGTTAATAAATACTGTCTTATTTAATAGAAAGTGCTGCAATTAGTTAAAAATTTTCAAGATTAGCAATTTCAACACATCTAACCTACGGGGACGACCAAATGCCACGATAAGTGATGTCAGTTCCAAGAACGGCCGGATCTACTTCTCGGAGCTACCTGTCGCTATAGACTACCAAGAAAATATCTCAAAATTATTTTCATGTTATTGACGTTTCTGTAATGTTGTTCTAACATAGATTTCGGGAGGTCTCCTAAGTAATTCACGTTTCTCTCATGTTGTAGCCCAAATTCCAGGTAAGAACAGGTCCAAGAACAGGTCCTACCAAGAAAATAACTCAAAATTATTTTCATCTTATTGACGTTTCTGTAATGTTGTTCTAGCACAGATTTCGGGAGATCTCCTAAGTAATTCACGTTTCTCTCATGTTGTAGCCTAAATTCCAAGTGCGAACAGGTTCAAAAACAGGTCCTACCAAGAAAATAACTAAAAATGATTAATATCTGTTGTTCTAACAGAGATTTCAGGAGGTCACCTAAATAATTCACGTTTCCCTCATGGTGTAGCCCAAATTCCAGGTGTGAACAGGTTTACATTAAGGAATTACTTGTCTTTTATTAGCTGCTCACACAACCAAGTGTCAACTCGACTTTATAAACTCGAAACTATAAAGTGTCGCTTACTCCTTTCAGGACTAAAAAGGATGTATTGCCATGTCCAGAGCATTTAAATGATATTATTTTGAGATGTTTTGCTTAAGTATGACTTCGTCGCACCTATTCGTATCTAACGCAAGCACGCAACCTGACATATATTTAAGAAGGATTCTTTTAGATAATTTCACTAGTTCAAAAAAAAAATCGGTTATCTAATTGACTATCATAAATGAATATATATCGTAACTATTTGAAAATTGTTTTAATGTTGCTAGCTTAATATTAACTCTATAGTTGTCGAAACTCAGTCTTTTTAGTGATGAGTTTAAAGCATAAGTTAGAATGATGTCTTAGTCTTTAAGGTTTAAGTTTTAGTTTTGGGTTTCGATATAAATATTTCAGTGAAAACGTTATGAATTTTCTATCAAGTCATCATAAGTCAAAGATACTCACTGCAGAATTCAGAGAACATTACAGAATAATTTTTTTTTACCTATCACAGACTTAACCGTAATAATTAATACGAACTACATCTAAGATTATATAGAGATGTTAAAGAGGGCAATACATTGAATTATGAAGTAGTGTCCCACCTATCTTTCCGGCACATAAGTAAGAAGTTGTGTTCCATCTGGCCGATAGAGTTAGAATTACTAATAGAATTACTGAAATTAACGTAATGCCATCCCGACACGCTAACATGACACTTGGTGGGTCAAGAAGTAATAACAGAGAGAAGATGAACTTGGAGTCCAAAAGAAACTTTGCCTAAATACGTTTGAAACACTTGCACATTATTACCTAAAGTTCATTCCACTCGTTTTTATCAAGATTGTAATCTATATCAATATAATATAATTATACTATAATAACATCTACTTAGTTTGATTCAGTTAAAATTACTAGATTAATTATTACGAATTACGATATTGATCCAGTTAACCTTTTGTTGGGCATCAAACAGAATTATATTCTGCATACCAAGAACTTCGTAGTACTAATATAGGTTAATATCATATTTTAGACTTGTTCTTTGTGTTGGAACACAGCTTTCATTAATATTTAATATCTATCTCATCACTATTCCTTCAGATTACTTTTTACTAGTTATTCAATACGAAGTGCAGCAATAGTTGTAATGTTTCCGATTTATGGTTTCACTATTGATAATGTTTATATTACCTTATACACAGTTAACGTTCAATTAGTTTAGTTACTTTAAATATCTTAGTACCACCACCGCTTTGGACTCCCTATCTGTATAAGGTAAATAAATATAACGTTGTACCAGAATGACAACTGAATTCTTAAAGCTCATATTGGTTTCGGTGATAAGTTTAAATGAGCTGAAAATCATACGAATACATAGATGGCAGTAGATCATTTAAGAGCGTATGAGAGAAAAGATTACGATTTCGACCTTTCGAGCATACTTGACAACGGATTATAGGAAAACCAACTATTTTGAACAAATTTTTTCACTTTCTATGTTATATAGCGTATTATATTATATTAATAATAATATGAAAATCACAAATAACAAGTAAACGCGCCATCTGCTGTCAAAACGGCGTGCACAGGAAGTCCTGCCTAGAAATTATATGTAAACTTTTTTAAAGAAGACTAGTTGTTCTCACGTATCATTGGAGACATACCATATTAGTCCCATTAAATTCGGGTTGTTGTTACATTCTTAATATTAAGGTGTAGTTAGATCTGTTAAGTAAGTTAAATCTGTTGTTGCTATTGATACCCGAAAAGATTTATATTGCAGGAAACATGAAAGGAATTATTACGTAAAAATACTTAGCAAGAACCCCTAATATAGAATAGTAGGGACTAATATCCTAAGATATGGACTAGGAGATAAGTAAAAATATGAGAGATTATTTGGGATAAGAAATCGATAAGGTTGATGGGATTTAATTTAAAGCAGTCTTGGAAATTTTACACTTCAACGAATAGGAGGCAAAGATCAAAATGGCTTAAATTGGTGTTTCCATTAATCCAAGCAGAGCTGTATTTGGACACATATCGGACATGGACTGACTTGGCTTGAGGTACTTTTATCTCAAGAAAGTTCTTGCTACACGAGAACGAGTCGTTCTGCTTTGAAAATATGAGGCGGATATACATTAAGAACTTTGTTGCTATGCAATTGTTGTTTAGAAGAAGATATTGTATCTATGTGGGGGAATGTTAGTTCACGTTTGTTTTCAAGCTAACTGATGTTAATTCCATTGCAATAGGTTTCGATATATTCATAATACAAAGGTGATGGACAGATGCAACGTGAAGGAAGGACTCAACTTATTACATTGTCATTGTGACGTCTATCTGTGAGGACCACAAGCAGATAGTCTTTTGCTATACTTGATTATTTTCTTTTACTTAAATCTGTTTATATCAAAAGTGTGTAGTATGAATGTGAATTCTCAAAGAGGTGATAGATTATCTGTTGGAAGTTGTCAGTTTCAATTTACATTTCTAGCTATGATTACGATAGCGATATTTCTGATTTATTAATAGTATAATTATTATTATCTGTTCATTTGCAACTGTTGCCTAATTATATAATTTCTATCTGATGAATAGTAGTTTTTAAGACGCACGATTCTGGCTATACATACTTCATTACGATAGTTAAGTTTGTATACTTCAGTCTGTCATTTCTGTTTTGTAAATGCATACTATAATAATTTAGTAATTATGTGTTCGCGAAAAATTGATTTCTGACTACTTTTTAGCCTTGTGACATGTATTCTTAACCACGGTCTGACTCTGGGTTGATGTCTGTTTCATTTCTTTTATCAATAGTCATACTAAATTTGCAAACTTTAACTTTCCAAATAAGATTAATGGTTTCTTGCCAGATAAGAGTACAACTAGTTTGATTAGTTTTGTCGTATTTTGCAACTCGTTTTTATATACATATAAACTTCAGATTTAATATTCACTGATCATTTCCATTCTTAATTTAGTATTGTCATTATAGTCATCATAGTTCTGGTTGGTTGGTTGCAGTGGCTGGCCATGTGCCTCAATTAGCGATTTTGTTTACTACTACATTACTCGCAAGAAGCCCTTATATAGTAGAGTAGGGACTTAATCCATCCCGTCGAATTTAAAAAATTTAATTGGTCTCTCGATCTTACCGATGAAAAGTCTGATCACTGTGTTTTTGGTAATCGGTAATACAATATTATGTCGCATACTGTGTTTTTGGTAATCGGTAATACAATATTATCAAATCACTGTAATACAATATTATGTCGCAAACACGAACATAATATATATCACTGTGTTTTTGGTAATCGGTAATACAATATTATGTCAAAAGAAGTATCTTTTTAAAAATCTATTTCTTTTGGACACCAAAGCCGGGCATTCACAGATTATATATATTATGGTTTCTTTTTTCTGCGGGTTTCCACAACTTCTGTAGTGAGGATTATGTGGAATACGCAGTTTCTCTGCGTACGGGTTCCTATATACCAATACATTATAGTTCTAGATTTGAAGATATTTCTAATCCTGTTTCAAGTAAAGTAATTTTCGAGTGATAGTCATATTCATCATAGCTTATTTCAGCACAAATAATGGCCTGTCGTGATATCATGAAAATTGTATTTGAATGAGTTATTTAATAACATTTCCAGATTTAAAGATATTGGTAATAGTGGCTTAACAAAAATTCTGGAATATATTTTCTTTGTAATTATCCATTTTTTTTTAGATAGTTTATAGAGCGTACTTAAATTGAATATCTTTTTTATATACTACTAATATAAGAATCTAAATAATATATTAAATTAAGTTAAATAAAATTTAATTACAACTTAAAGTTTTTATTAAGTACTTTCGCAGTTAATAATAAAATGTTACTGTAAATGTTATTTGAAAAGAAATAAAATTAATTACTTTTTATTGCGAATAAAAAGTTTTTGCACTGAATTTAATTTATAATTAAATGTAAAATTTAAATACAAGTATACATACAAAAAGTATATAATGGATTTATATATAAAAATAATATTGCTGTAAACAAAGAAATTTTCATCGAAATTTATAAGAATCCCATAAATAATTATATGTTAAATAAAAATATACAATCATTTTTGCCTTTTTACTTATAAAATAAATTTTTATTCTACATAGATTTTTTTTTTTTTCGTTAATAATCAGTTTTCTTTTCGCAGTTTTCTAGACACTTTATGTTTGTTAATATACTTGTACAATGTATATTGTATGAATGTATTTAAATAATACAATTATTTTATAGTAAATTTATTATTATTATGTATTATAGATTTTGTTACAATATCAGAAATATATTTGTTAACACCCTGTATATACTTATATTACATGGACATTACATGCTGCATGGCAGGTAATTGCAATTATGTACCTAAATTAATACAATACAATCAGCAAACGTGTACAACATTCAAAATTTAATTAACTTATATATACCAGATATATATACCATATATATATAGATATATACATATATATATCTTTTTTTTTTGTTTTTTGTTTTCATATATTGTAAATTTTTTGCATTGGTGGAACGCACTTCAAAACGCTATAGTTCTTAGCTATGATAAGTAATTGTAAGGAAATCATTTTTAACAAAACATTAATGAAAATAGATTCTTGCCATAGAACATAAAATTATTAACTAAACATTAATAAAAAAATAAAATAAAATTTGTTAATATATGAGTTTTAACAAAAATAAGCTTTAGTTGTCTTAATTTTTTAACACCAATCATTTGTCACCATTAAGTTAAAAGCTACGTTGTAGAGCCAAATATGTACAGAGACGACCAAGTGTTGCGAACCATTCCCAAGAGAGACAATGCCAGCAGGTCTCTTCGGGTTATGATAAAAACAATTACACGATATCTGCGACAGATGTCTATTTACAAAAGACATATCTACAAAGTTGCACTAGATTCGAAATATATATATACATATATATTATATATTGTTTTTGTGGTAACTCATAGAAATCTATAAGGAAAATAAAGATAAAAACCATTACAAATACGTATTCATGTGTTAGGATATGATTAGGCGAAGAACGTGTGATAAGGGAGGAGATCGTTTGGGAATAAGAGTGGATTAAGGATGGGTGGGATATTAATTAAAGTAATCTTGGGTGTATCAGTACCTTTCTTTAGCTAGGAGACCCAAAATCTTCGAGGTCCCTTTATCCAACGACCTGACCGAGCTATAATCCTGTAATATTAGGGACCTAGTCAGATTTATAGAACTGTCAGGTTGGTTTTCCTTTACCTTAACCTAACGGGGGAGTCATTAACTTTTTTGATGTTGATTGTATACTGATCTTTTAATCTATGTACGTACCAATGCTATTCCGTAGTACTACAATAGGTACCACTTTATTTGAGCTTAAGTGGACTTTTTTGGAAACAAGGCCGCCACTCCAATCTACCTGTGTCTAGGTAAAAAACCTAACCACTTTAACTTGACGGAACTCAAGTTGGTGAGTGCATGCGGTAATCAAAACAGATGAGCGACAGCATGAAGATTCTGAGTACACCGATGTGAATGGGCAGAGTTAAGTATACCTATTTATTATAGGAACCATGGTGTGACCCAATTCAGAATAAGATCTAAGGTGACACCCATTGTTGCAATAGTTGCAGCCAGACAGAGATAATCATTACTAAAATTGTTCTATTGCAAACTGCATATGTATCTAGCGGTTGGGATGGAAAATGGCTGCCAGATGTAGATTATTGTGGGAAACGTTGGACAGTTAGAAGACAGTTGTTGGGCAGCCAGATCTTCTAATTGCATAGCTCTAATCGGTCTGGCTATGCAAAGCTAAACAGCGACTGAGGTGACATCAGTTAACTGTTGCACCGAACTGATGTTTGATTTCTGCTTATTGTAAGGACGCAGACGGAACACCGAGATTAGGTTAATTCCGACCATTAAAGGTAATTTAAGAAGCAAGATGGTCGGAACTTGCTTATTAGTGGAAAAAAAATATACAAATGACAAATGTGAAAAAAAGCACGTACCTGCTGTTGTAGCCGTATATGGAAATGGTGAACAGTTCTTGGTCATTGACGAGCAGGTGCGAGACGTAGATCCAAATTGACGAATAGCTGCGAGAAATAGACCCGGTCGTTTCTGGAGTCTATTTATATACGGCATAAGTTGTATCTTATATAACTGTTAACATTATTAACATGTCATATTGTGAAGTTAATTATAATTTTAAAATAATTAAAAAAAAAATTAATACATTTAGTGTTTAATAATAAAAATAATAAAAAAAACTGTAGCGCTTTAAATTTGTTCACCACTATTTTTATGCAAAAATCTGTATATTTACCATATAGTATATAGTTAGATATACTATAATATAGTTAACTGTTTGCAAAAATTTATAATATTTATGTATAGTTAACCTTTAACGAAACTATAATTTGCTTAACATGTATGAATTCGAACATGATTAATAAGTGTGCTCTTTTGGCGAAACTGTTTAGGACAGTAGGAACAGGCATATGGCTTCTCTCCGGTATGAATTTTCATATGATTGTTAAGTGTTGAAACTTGACGAAAATTGGTTTCGCATACTTTACATTTATATGGTTTTTCTCCTGTATGAGTCTTAATATGGTTGTTAAGTGTGCTGTGTTGAGAGAATGCACGCCTGCAGACGCCGCAAACAAATGGGCGATCGGGACACTCACCTTTATATGTTGTTACCTGTGTTACACGTTCGTTGGCGTTGTATTGTTCTTTGGGCACAATGGTGCTGACTGTTGTATTACTGTCGAGTATATGCAACAGCGGATGTTCAAATTGTAGTTGTTGATGTAACATATTGGCATTTAGTTGTGTTGCCTGAGGATGCCCTGCTAATGTTGTGGTTGGCATGTTGATTCCTCCATGTGGTGGTGGGGCGGTTCCTGCCATTGTTGTGGTTGTTGTTGGGTTGGTTGCTGCAGCTGTATTGCGTGTAAATTAAACAAAGGCTTTGTTAGGGGAAAATGATGTTAACATTTCAAAAAGAACGTCGAACGCACAAATGTCTCACCTGTAGCGTGCGTCTTCATGTGATTCGAAAGCGTGCTCTGCTGCCGGAAGTTCATAGAACAATAGGAACAGGTGTAAGGCTTATCACCAGTGTGTATCTTTTTATGATTGGCCAATGTGGCTTGTTGACTGAAACATTTATCGCATGACTCACATTTAAAGGGTTTCGGATCCAAATGCGTATTCTCATGATTACGCAGTGTACTTATATGTGGAAAGCGTCTTTTGCAGATATTACATTGATAAGGCTTAACCAATTCTTCTGCTTGTGGTGAGTTATAACTGCCTGAATATAAATTCTTCGATATTGGTGTACGATTCTGGTATGAGTTCTGAGCTCCCTTACGTGAAGATGGCTTGGTTGGTGGTTGATAATTAAGTAATGACGTTGGTGTACTGGACTCTATAAGAAACAAAAAAAAAAATGTCGATTATTATAAAGCTTTTTTTAACTTTGGAAGATAAACCCTGAACGAACCCTTATGAGTTTTTATATGATTTATTAGTGTACTTTGTTGCCGAAAATCCTTAGCACATATGTTACATGTGAATGGCTTTTCACCGGTATGAATTTTAACATGATTTGTTAGCGTTGATATTTGACGAAAAGCTTTTTCACAATGTTTACACTTATACGGTCGCTCGTCAGTGTGTATTTTCATATGATTACGCAGCGTAGTTAATTGACGAAATTTATTTTTGCAAACATGACATTGTTTCTTTTTACGCGGATCATCGACTACCACCTCTTCTTCAGTTTGCACTTCTACCTTAGGTGGCGATATGGGTGTTGGATTCGGTGTACTTGTAGTAGAGGATATATCTAATAGATGTACTAACGGATGTTGCGGATGTAGCATAGCTTGATGTGTTGGATGTTGTATGGCTTGTACGGCAGTTAGCTGATGCAGCGCAAATGGACTCTGTTGTAAACCTGCAGCAATTGTTGTTTGCTGCTGCACAGTAGTTGGTGTTACTGCATGTGTAGATATTTGCGGTGGCGGGTAATGTTGATAACTGGTAGCCATTGCTGTTGCAGCTGTGGCGTGATTGAGATGCATCATTTACGAGGTATTCGAGAAAATCGATAGTACAGTTTTTATTGTCGTCGTTTTTTTGTTAAAATTATATAAAAACTCCTAAATGTGTATAAAAAAACAGCAATATAAATATAAAAATTTCACTAATTAAAAACAATACTTCTTACCGATGAATTATTTTTTTAACAGTCTGCAATGCGCAACGTGAATGCCCCCTTCAGACTTCCACGTACTTGCTCACAATATTACACAATTTCTGTACAAATCTTAACCAACCACATATTTACAACTGTTTGCAAAAATATTTAACAATTTCATAACTTTTATTTGAGTTTCTTTAATAGTTAAAAATACACACACTCAAGGATGAAAAAATTTTCAGGAAAAGAAAACAAACCATCTGGGGCTTTGGTCATGGATGTCAAGTTATCAAAACAATATTGACAATTATCAGTGTTGCTTTCGAAAATTATGTTAGCGTGGTTTCCAACGGGAGTTTAATGCGAAATAGTGATGCCAGACTTATAAAATTTGTATATAAAACTAAAAAAGTAACACATATAAGATTTATAGCAGGTTTACTTGCCATAATATAAAAAATTATTTAAATCTTAAAATTTTTAGTTGAATATTAAAACTGGGATGTAATAAGCTTAAATGTAAACACAACTTCACGTCTGCAATAATCATTTTAATATACAGAATTTTGTTCTAACATATAAATTCCACTTCAATGTCATTTCAAATAATTATAAGAATTAATTATAAGAATTAATAAAAATAAATACAATAACTAACAAAATAAAATATAAATGTACAACTAATTTTTAAATTCCTGTCGAAAAGACAATGTATTATATAGATGTTACTGCAACATTTGCTTTTTTATAAAATTTATATTGATGTATAAATTAGCTGTTTTGTTTTGAATTTCAAATTAATTTATAATTTTTAGTTGTAATATATGATATGACACTGTGATATATTCGATCATGGCAACACTGTATGAATGTCAAAAGCTAAAAAGGAAACATTTGTGTATGTGTCCATCATCGGGATTGCGAAGAGCAATCGTGTCAACTAGCGTAAAATAAATACATATTATTAATTGTAAGTTATATTTTATATTATTATCAATAAAGTATATAACAAACACAAACTTTAAATTAAATCAATTATAAAATAAAATAAAATATGTAAGAAATTATTTTTAAAAACTAATGTTATACACTTTTTTAATTTCTATTTGTTTTTTAGAAAATAGCACTTCACTTTAATATATAATTTAATTTGCCTTACTTACGTTCTTAGTTTGTACTTCACTTATGTTTTACTCGAGTTTTACTACGAGTGGCTCGTGGAACAACATATTATGAAGTTTAATCTATTGATAATTGTATGTCATAATAAACAAGGTATAAATTAAAAGTTTGTTACTAAAAATGTGCAAAACTGTAGTTAGAATGAATCGTTGTCGGATTTTTATATGGAATCGGATTAAACTTTTATCTTTATTTTGAATCAAAATCGAATGAATAAACAAAATACCAATTGAAGTTTTGATTATTTGCGTTGTACGAGTATGAATATGATATAGGTGACATTAATAAGCATTTTTATATACGATAAATAAACATTTA